GCGTATGTGTGTGTATATATATATATATATATATATATATATATATATATATATATATATATATATATATATATATATATATATATATATATATATATATATATATATATATATGTACAGGAATTTAAACATATCCTTATACACTTTATATGTAGTGTTGTATAGCCACATATATCGTTTGCGTTGACCCGTCTAATCCTTAAATGAACCTCTAAGTTGTGTGACAAACTTATTAGGCTGGGGTGTCTCAAAGCCAATCAATACAGATCTTCCTGCGACATACCGTAGGAATCTTGCCGTCATTTATCTGCCTAGGATGGATGCGTTCACACAGCTTTTTCCGTGTTTCGTCAAGTCGAGGCTCAGGAGGGCCTACTGGTTCGTACATGAGTTTTTATTGGGTGATCTTAGTGTCAGATCTTAGTGTTAGGGATGGTGATCTTAGTGCTAGGGATGGTGATCTTAGTGCTAGGGATGGTGATCTTAGTGTCAGATCTTAGTGCTAGGGATGGTGATCTTAGTGTCAGATCTTAGTGCTGGGGATGGTGATCTTAGTGTCAGATCTTAGTGCTGGGGATGGTGATCTTAGTGTCAGATCTTAGTGCTGGGGATGGTGATCTTAGTGTCAGATCTTAGTGCTAGGGAAGGTGATCTTAGTGCTGGGGATGGTGATCTTAGTTCTAGGGATGGTGATCTTAGTGCTGGGGATGGTGATCTTAATGCTAGGGATGGTGATCTTAGTGCTAGGGATGGTGATCTTAGTGTCAGATCTTAGTGCTGGGGATGGTGATCTTAGTGCTGGGGATGGTGATCTTAATGCTAGGGATGGGGATCTTAGTGCTAGGGAAGGTGATCTTAGTGCTGGGGATGGTGATCTTAATGCTAGGGATGGGGATCTTAGTGCTAGGGATGGTGATCTTAGTGCTGGGGATGGTGATCTTAGTGCTGGGGATGGTGATCTTAGTGCTGGGGATGGTAATCTTAGTGCTAGGGATGGTGATCTTAGTGTCAGATCTTAGTGCTGGGGATGGTGATCTTAGTGTCAGATCTTAGTGCTGGGGATGGTGATCTTAGTGTCAGATCTTAGTGCTAGGGAAGGTGATCTTAGTGCTGGGGATGGTGATCTTAGTTCTAGGGATGGTGATCTTAGTGCTGGGGATGGTGATCTTAATGCTAGGGATGGGGATCTTAGTGCTAGGGATGGTGATCTTAGTGCTGGGGATGGTGATCTTAGTGCTGGGGATGGTGATCTTAGTGCTGGGGATGGTAATCTTAGTGCTAGGGATGGTGATCTTAGTGTCAGATCTTAGTGCTAGGGATGGTGATCTTAGTGTCAGATCTTAGTGCTAGGGATTGTGATCTTAGTGCTGGGGATGGTGATCTTAGTGCTAGGGATGGTGATCTTAGTGTCAGATCTTAGTGCTAGGGATGGTGATCTTAGTGCTGGGGATGGGGATCTTAGTGCTAGGGATGGTGATCTTAGTGTCAGATCTTAGTGCTAGGGAGGGTGATCTTAGTGCTATTGATGGTGATCTTAGTGCTGGTGGATGGTGATCTTAGTGTCAGATCTTAGTGCTAGGGATGGTGATCTTAGTGCTAGGGATGGTGATCTTAGTTTCAGATCTTAGTGCTAGAGATGGTGATCTTAGTGCTGGGGATGGGGATCTTAGTGCTAGGGATGGTGATCTTAGTGTCAGATCTTAGTGCTAGGGATGGTGATCTTAGTGCTAGGGATGGTGATCTTAGTGCTGGGGATGGTGATCTTAGTGTCAGATCTTAGTGTTAGGGATGGTGATCTTAGTGCTAGGGATGGTGATCTTAGTTCCGGGGCTTATGATAGTTATGTTAGTTATGGTGTTGTCATTTTCATGTTAGTGTTGAAGTATCCGGTACTGTTAGGCTCGATGTCAGTTTTAGTGTTATTACTAGTGCTAGGGTTTATGACAATGCATGCAGTTTTCCTTGGGAGAAGGGTGCGGACACCGGGAAAAGTATATATTTTCCATATAAACTCTATTTCGCTCGAAGAGATGCCTGAAAAAAACTCTGCATGCAGGTTGAAATCAGTGGAACGTCCCTGAGTCCACCCAGCTCTGATGGGTACCTAACTCACGTTAGGGAAACAAAGGCGGCTGGGCATAGTACTGACCACGCTATCCTTGATAGGCCGAGGTCTCTGACGCAGTTGAACTCTACTTCCTCTGCCCCATGTATCTTAGGCACGAACGGGAAATGATGATGATGATGATGATACTTGCATGCTAGTTGCTCGTCAATATCTACACGTCTTGACTGAATACAAACCTATAATAGATCATTGTATTAACGTATGTTATGCATAAAATGTTTAAATTTAACTTGCCGTGGTATGCGTGGCTGACAGTGAATCAAATGTTACGTTAGTGAACCAATGTTCTGCTTAAAATGGCTGAGAGTGAATCAAATGTTACGTTAATGAACCAATGTTCTGCTTAAAATGGCTGAGAGTGAATCAAATGTTACGTTAATGAACCAATGTTCTGCTTAAAATGGCTGACAGTGAATCAAATGTTACGTTAGTGAACCAATGTTCTGCTTAAAATGGCTGAGAGTGAATCAAATGTTACGTTAATGAACCAATGTTCTGCTTAAAATGGCTGACAGTGAATCAAATGTTACGTTAGTAAACCAATGTTCTGCTTAAAATGGCTGACAGTGAATCAAATGTTACGTTAGTGAACCAATGTTCAGCTTAAAATGGCTGACAGTGAATCAAATGTTACGTTAGTGAACCAATGTTCTGCTTAAAATGGCTGACAGTGAATCAAATGTTACGTTAGTGAACCAATGTTCTGCTTAAAATGGCTGACAGTGAATCAAATGTTACGTTAGTGAACTAATGTTCTGCTTAAAATGGCTGACAGTGAATCAAATGTTACGTTAGTGAACCAATGTTCTGCTTAAAATGGCTGACAGTGAATCAAATGTTACGTTAGTGAACCAATGTTCTGCTTAAAATGGCTGACAGTGAATCAAATGTTACGTTCGTGAACCAATGTTCTGCTTAAAATGGCTGACAGTGAATCAAATGTTACGTTAGTGAACCAATGTACTGCTTAAAATGGCTGACAGTGAATCAAATGTTACGTTAGTAAACCAATGTTCTGCTTAAAATGGCTGACAGTGAATCAAATGTTACGTTAGTAAACCAATGTTCTGCTTAAAATGGCTGAGAGTGAATCAAATGTTACGTTAATGAACCAATGTTCTGCTTAAAATGGCTGACAGTGAATCAAATGTTACGTTAGTAAACCAATGTTCTGCTTAAAATGGCTGACAGTGAATCAAATGTTACGTTAGTGAACCAATGTACTGCTTAAAATGGCTGACAGTGAATCAAATGTTAAGTTAGTGAACCAATGTTCTGCTTAAAATGGCTGACAGTGAATCAAATGTTACGTTAGTGAATCAATGTTCTGCTTAAAATGGCTGACATTGAATCAAATGTTACGTTAGTGAACCAATGTTCAGCTTAAAATGGCTGCCAGTTAATCAAATGTTACGTTAGTGAACCAATGTTCTGCTTAAAAATATTTTAATTTAACTGTGAAAGAAATCGTCTTAATCGTGTAGTCTACAACGAGTGTATAGAGCCGTTTCATAATTAACTTTTGGATAAGTATAAATTGTGAAGGCGGCATTGAAAGACATGTTCATTACGTTTCTTTCAACTGGAAGCACTACATTTAAAACCAATGACACAAATATTGATTGAACTGAGCCTTTTGACTCCGCTTGCATAGGACGCCGATCATTGTTTGTTTTGTTTTGTTGTTTTTTTTAAATTAATTTCACTTGTAGAACATCACCCAACATGCCAACTATTTTATCACCAGCTTGGATTTATCAAACATCACAGATGTGTCTGTGTGGGTGGGTTGACAACAGCATCGCTACGACTACCAAAGTTCTTGTTTTTTCTTATATAACAACAACAAAACTTAATTTAAATCTCAGTCACCAAACTTGAACAACAAATCAACAACTTATCGATCCCAGCTTTTCCAACCGCGATCGATTTTGTCGCGACGTCAACTTCGATTGGACGTCCCAAAATAGCATCGTCTGCTAGTGAGTTCCATCCCTTGACACCCAAAATATCCCAGAAGAGCGCTAGGTGACCGCGGGATGACCTCAAGTTTTCAGCTTCGAATACCCAGCAAACAAAACAAAGAATTTTCGTTTTACCGTTTCCGTTATGCGTAATTTTATTTCTTCCTTATTCTGTATCTTTTACATAGGTAGGGGGCGTCGGGCTTTGATTAATATGTGTGACAATAGAATTTGGGGAAGGCGAAAATCGTTTAAAAATGTGACCTCGTTTATGGATGGCCCCATGTCACTCTATACCAAGACAACTTGTTTTACTATTTCGTTTCATAATGACAGCTATTTTGTTTGTGTTTTTCATTGTAAGAAATATAAGATTTAGACGCTTGCGTGGTATTGTGAGGGATGAACAATGTCGAAAATAAAGAAAAACTATTAAATTCGAAATATTTATTATTAAAATACTTTTTATGTTGAAATAATAGTTTATTAGTTTTTTTACCGGTTTATTATTAGCTAGACCTATTTTGACACAAATCTTCTCACGCCGTACATTTGCTGTCATTTTGCAATAATTAAAAAACCAAAACCTCAATGATGTTTTTTTTTTAATTAAAAAAAAAATATGCATCTTTTCTAAACCAGCGTCAGTAGCTTAGGCCGGGGTATTGCGGATATAACCAACACCATTTTTGTGGATCCCCTCCCCCCAAACCCCTATAAAAATGCCTATATAGTGTCAGCTTTCTAAAATCGTGAAACTTGATTTATACTGAACCATTTAACTCATCGACCAAGTGTGACTGTAAAATATTATATTTTACTGTTTTTTGTTTTTCAAATTTATCGCTGTTGTGTGTGTTGTAAAATGACCCACCGAAACTGTGACTCTATTTTTGTATTTCCATCAGGCAAACCGTGACCAAACGGCTCGACGTCATGGCCGGATCACACGTCCTGATTTTTTTCGTCAACGGACGGAAGGTAAACTAAACCATGTTTTATTGAATGGTTGCTAGGATACTAAACCATGTTTTATTGAATGGTTGCTAGGATACTAAACCATGTTTTATTGAAAGATTGCTAGGATACTAAACCATGTTTTATTGAATGGTTGCTAGGATACTAAACCATGTTTTATTGAATGGTTGCTAGGATACTAAACCATGTTTTATTGAAAGATTGCTAGGATACTAAACCATGTTTTATTGAATGGTTGCTAGGATACTAAACCATGTTTTATTGAAAGATTGCTAGGATACTAAACCATGTTTTATTGAATGGTTGCTAGGATACTAAAACCATGTTTTATTGAATGGTTGCTAGGATACTAAACCATGTTTTACTGAAGGCTGCTAGGATACTAAAACATGTTTATTTGAAGGGTTGCTAGGATAGGATACTAACCCATGTTTTATTGAAAGGCTGTTAGGATACTAAACCATGTTTTATTGAAAGGTTGCTAGGATACTAAAACATGTTTATTTGAAGGGTTGCTAGGATAGGATACTAAACCATGTTTTATTGAAAGGTTGCTAGGATACTAAACCATGTTTTATTGAAAGGTTGCTAGGATAGGATACTAAACCATGTTTTATTGAAAGGTTGCTAGGATACTAAACCATGTTTTATTGAAAGGTTGCTAGGATACTAAACCATGTTTTATTGAATGGTTGCTAGGATACTAAACCATGTTTTATTGAAAGGTTGCTAGGATACTAAACCATGTTTTATTGAAAGGTTGCTAGGATACCAAACCATGTTTTATTGAATGGTTGCTAGGATACCAAACCATGTTTTATTGAAAGGTTGCTAGGATACTAAACCATGTTTTATTGAAAGGTTGCTAGGAACGAATGTTGGTCTTGGACGCATATGTTGATTTTTATTAATTACCCTACTAATTTAGGAATATTTCTAGTGGCGAGGATGTGGTAATTGAGGGGGGGGGGGGGCTTGTGAACAATTAATTAGAAAATGTGAACATTTTCTCCGACAAACGTAAAAATGAAATAAATCTATTTGGAAAGACATTATCAACCAACAACAAAGTATAACCTATAAATTTTGCTGCTAAAAATCTTATAAAAAGGAGGGGGGATCGTTTTTTTTTAATTGTTTTTTTTTTTTAAAACAAAATATTTTTTAAAAAATAAACACGATACCGTGGTTTGACCAAATCGAGTGCGCACGTCCTCGAAAATAAAGATGATGTAACAGATCTAGACCTAGTTCGTCTGCACCGTGTTACGAAATCAAAGGCCGGTGCTAAAAGATCTTCTGATCTAAAAGTAATCAGACGCGTGAGTGTCAGTGCGTGTGCACGTCACTTCCGGTTTGCCCAGGTCACACTGTGTTTAAATTAGGTGACCCGCGCTGTTAGAATTAAAATATGGACCTGGGTGTTGGGAAATGCGTGTGTGTATATATATATATATATATATATATATATATATATATATATATATATATATATATATAATATATTATATATATATATACACGCCCAATATCGATGAGTACTCAAGAACTCTGTGAGCCTAAAATACATTGGCTAGCTAAGGGTGGAGGGGGGTAGGGGGGGTAGGGGTTCTAATCATTTTTCCTTTCGGAAATATGTTACGCCGTGAGATAGGGGATAGATTAATGTAGATGTGGGTAGGTTTGGAGTACTGAGTTGATGATGGAACCATCTAGACGTCACGTGTTTAAAGCTGGTACAATTACATCACGTGTACAGTCCAGACGTCACGTGTCTAACGCTGGTACAGTCCAGACATCACGTGGTCGGTGCAGATTCAGTGAAGACACCCGATCTGCTATTGTAAGCTTTCTCATGCCTGTCCTTTCCCTGCCTGACCGTACCGTGAGATTTCAGGTTAATTAACTGCACTTGGCGTGTTCCCAAATGGGTCGTCGAAATATGACGTCACACACCCAGAGGGGTAAGTGGGTGGGGAGTTCACACTTTTGTGCAGGTTGGCCGAGCGGGGGAGAATTTAAAATACGTAGAAGGAACAATAAATTTGAATCTTATTTTGTTTACAAATTTTAATCAATATGTCAGTAAAATGTTTCGTATATCGGGGTTTGAGGTAGGTGCAGCGTCATCTGCTAAGAGTTGAAGGGCGGGGGGGGGATGTAAACAGAGTTTCTTCCAGGCATCTCTTCGAAAAAATTCTACCGCCCCCACCCCCCCTCCCCGAACGAAATTAAATGTATATAATTTATATAGAAAATATATACTTTTAACAGTGTCCGCCCCCCCCCCCCCCCCAAAAAAGTCTGGAAGAAACACTGGGTGTAAATGTTTTGCTTTACATGCATGACGTCATATATAGACAACCCCATAGAACTTCGACCTCCGCCAATGTATTTAGTACTACTATACAGGGTTTCTTTTAGACTTTTTTCTCCGTGGGTGGGGTCAATTGAAAAAAAAATTCGGGCGGGGGGGGGGGGGGCGCGGGGGTAAAAATCCGGGGAGAGGTGGGTGGACACTGTTAAAAGTATATATTTTCGATATAATTTCTATTTCGTTCGGAAGGGGGGGGGGGGCGGTAGACTGCTTCGGGGGGCACCGCCACCCCCTCCCCCCTGCGAAGATATGCCTGAAGGAAACACTAGAACCAGAGGCGTAGCGACCCTTCCCGGCGCCCGGGGACAAACTTTCGATTTGCACCCCCCCCCCCCTCAAACTTTCGATTTGCACCCCCCTTCAAACTTTCAATTTGCACCCCCCCCCCCTCAAACTTTCAATTTGTTTTTCCAACCCATTTTGGCGCCCCCTAAATCGGCGCCCGGGGACATATGTCCCCTCACCCCCCTCCACCCCCTCGCCCCACCCCACCCCCTCGTTACGCCTCTGGCATGCACTTCAAATTTTCTATTGTGGAGTTCAGCGGGGGGTTGGTGGAAGTGGGGGGGGGGGCGGCTTCTTCATATCATTCTCTACCTTTTTTTTTAAATAATTTTATTTTCCATAAAGCAAAATGCAACATATTTACAATAACATTGTTTACATAGCTTTGAATGAGTAAGTTCATATGTTAATTAATTACAGCAAGACGGTGGAAAGACAAAATTTTTGCAGTACGCTGGTTTGCATTTCTTTGAAAAATATATTAATTATATATATTAATTATAATTTAAAATTAAAACAAATTACTCTTTTTTTCCCTCATTCTCTACCAAAGAAAGAAATCAACAATTGTCTAGCCGCTAGCCAGTTGATCCAGTGCATATTGAACTGAATTTTTTTAAATTGTAAAAATTATCTATTTAAAATCTCTAATGGCCTTCTATTCAAGCTAAAATAAAAATAATAATTTTAACTTCTGTAGTGTTTAAGTAACAGCAAAAAATTTATATGAATTTTAATGTATATAGTTATTGATATGTGAAATGATGACGTCTGATGTTATTTTTGTTTCTTTGGAATTTCTATAAATATTTAGTGAAAGCTGGAAACATAGTTGTCGGTTGCGTCCCTTTAATATTCTTACTTTAGAAATGGGAGGGAACTAATTGATTTTCGTGTTTATTAACCCTCGCTACGCCTCTGACTGGAACTATACTTACTCCCACTCCGATTAGAACTACCGTTACCCACCGTATTTTTAAATAATTGGGTAGTCGTACAGTAGAGTGCACACAATTTAAATTACAAATGTGCCCTGAATCACAAACTATGATCGTACGGTTGAACTGGAGATATTACTAGGTCAAAATGACATAACACCTCCCTTTTCCCCCACCCCCTCTTCTTAGGTTTCTATAATCCAATTATACTTCATAAAACGTGACTAGTCATAATGTAGTGTAAACATAAAAACAGCATTCGCTTGTTTGTAAAACGCAAACCTGTTTTAATCAACATCCGATTTGAGTCAAATTACACGCGTCGGCTGTTTTTACTTTCTCTTTTCTGGAGAGCTTCCAAAAGTTAGACATTCACGTGTCTCAACACGTGTGGATAACTTTTTTCTTTTCACTACCTAAATTTTGTTTCGTGTCTAGTCATATTTGCAGTCACTTAAACTTTTTAATGTGTTTTTTTTTCATCGCGTCGAAGGTTGCTTTTTAGCGCAATTTCCATACTGGCAATTGCGTTTAATAATTCGTCATTTCTGGATGGATGGATGGATGGATGTGTGGATGTGTGTCCGCAGCTTTAAGTCGTATCTCCTCCTCAACGAAGCAATATCGAGGACTAGTTCCAAAAGCCAATATGTTAAGCAAGTTCCAATGATGATTGTGGGCCAAAAAAATTCCCGGAATTCCTTCCTGGATTTCCCGGAAAAGCCAAAAAACCTCGAACAAATGCAGTTTTTGCTCCATATCTCGACAACCAGACCACTTAGCGACTTGAAACATTTACCAATCGATTCCTGCCATAATTTAGAACAATATTGCTGAAGAAAGTTTTCAAAAATATCCTTTCGTTCGGTCACAAAAAATTAATTAAGTACATTTAAACTGAGCATCGTGTAGGCCTAGGATGATATTTACTACTTTTTTAAACTGAGCATCGTGTAGGCCTACTCGTTAAAATAAAACTATTTCCGTTGATTTTAAATCTCGTTAATATATATTTTTTCTATTTTGTTTTGAATTATTAAAACTACTTGTGTAGCATTATTTATTTGCTGAATATATGATTTATCTCGATTTAAAATTGTTATGGATTACATAAGGACATTGCGCTTAAATTGTCACTAGACTTTTTATTAACTTGTTGTTTTGTTTTGTTTTTGTTTTCAGCATACGTGTAATGACTTCATGTTTTTAATTAATTGAATGTGGTTTTTTTCCTCTGCTCCCAGATTACAGTGAACAACCCTGACCCCGAGATGACCTTGTTACATTTCCTGCGGTACAAACGTATCCTTTTAGTACCAGACATTGAGCAGACAGCTCCAGGTGTAGGGATACATTAGTACATCAGAACGAGGCTCGTATTACTCGCGTGTTTTACATGCGCAGAAGCAGTCGAACAGATGGTGTTATGAGTGTGTTTAATTTTAAATTAAATGTACATTTATTGATTATTGGTACTCTGTACTGTTTAAAACTAACATCATTATTTGGTTGGGAATCCTGAACACAAAGATACATCTGAATAGTTTCGAAAATTATAATTTATAAAATGTGTGAGCTGGAATTGGATATTTTTAAAAAAAACCAGACTATGCAATAGCCAAATTGAGTTGGAGGGGGGGGGGTAAAAAATAAAGCTGATTTTATCCTATAGTCTAGAGTTGATATTTTACAAATACATTATGAACGTGTAACATTGCAATAATAAAATAATTAGCGCTTTAAAAAAAAAATTCGCCACTATTGCTCATATGGAAAAGGCCTCAGACTATAAGGTTCCCATCAACAACGCTCATGACAAAATGACGAAGGCTATTTTTACACTTAACAAAAAATGAAAAATTTAGGTAATTAGTAACACTAAAAGCACTTGGCCTATAGATCTGCATGTGCATCTCTGATGTACTGTGGTGGGCATTAAGGTTAAACTTAGCATAGGTTCAACAATAGGCAAATGTTAAACTGGTTAAAGTTTTAGTTATGAACAGATGTTGTAAGAGCAGGGTAGAGGAGCTTAGGGTTAGTGGAGTTAGGGTTAGTGGAGTTGGGGTTAGGGTTAGTGGAGTTAGGGTTAGTTGAGTTAGGGTTAGTGGAGTTTGGGTTAGGGTTAGTGGAGTTAGGGTTAGTGGAGTTAGGGTTAGTGGAGTTAGGGTTAGTGGAGTTAGGGTTAGTGGAGTTAGGTTTAGTGGAGTTAGGGTAAGTGGAGTTAGAGTTAGTGGAGTGTGAATATTTTTCCTGACCAGCAAGTCCATCTGACCGGCAGCAAGCTCGGCTGTGGGGAGGGAGGATGTGGCGCGTGCACTGTCATGTACTCACGCTATGACTCCACATTGGACATCATCAAGTATCCTTTTGTTTGTGAGGATGTCATGTAACATTTGGTTTGTCATGTGACATTTGGTCTGTCATGTGACATCTGGTTTGTCATGTGACATTTGGTTTGTCATGTGACATTTGGTTTGTCGTGTGACATTTGGTTTGTCATGTGACATTTGGTTTGTCGTGTGACATTTGGTTTGTCTTGTGACATCAATGACATGGGATATCAAATATAGTCAGTGGTTGTCCTATGTTTTGTGATTTTCAGTATGTCTAATGTCATTGTGTTACACTTTTATGAGTAGTTTGTTTTGAGATATGCGACATGTGGTATGGCAATCTACCAAACGCTGTTGTCATGTTGTGATTTTTTATTCATTATTTAACTAAGCTCATTAAATGTTTATCTTTCTATTCAGATAACACAATGCACAATATTCGCTAATGTTCTAGAACATTCTCTAGCAGATTTGCACTACTCACAATAATGAAACAAGAATTTCGCACTCGTCCAGTGCAGCAGAAAGTCTCAGTTACATAATTTACTTTAATTTTTACTTTCTCGTATATACGAAGTATAGAGAAAGTCTTGTAATCGTGCAAAAAAAAATCGAGATTTTTGCAAATCTCGACGTTTTGCATCTCACTGATACGGAAAAACATAATTTTGCAATCTTGTCCGTATGTCTGTGTGTCTGTGTGTGTGTGTGTGTGTGTGTGTCCGTGTGTAAACACGATAACTTGAGTACCGTTACAGCTAGGTTGATGAAATTTCATATATAAGTATTTAATCAAAATCGTAGATCCGTATCAACTTTTGAGCGATTTCCGATAACCGGAAGTGGTACTTTTCCTACTTTGAATTTTTCAAAAGCCTATAACTTGAGTACTATTTCAGATAGATAAATGAAATTTCATACGTAAGTAAAAGATCTAATTCTCTACCTTCTATTAAATTTTGAGTCGTTTCCGTTGACTGGAAGTAGTACTTTACGCTACTTCCGATTTCTCAAAAAACTAATGTAAATTTTAAAAGTAATAATAATATTGCGCACTATTATGCGTTTTTTTATTTCGCGTTCACTTGGTGTGCAATTAATTTGTCTACGAGATTTTATTCTATTTTTAAAACTTTAAGTATTTAAAATGGATTAAAAATCATGTCTATAGCCCGAGTTCCCATCCCCTGTTATTTTATATAAGAATATTCGAGAAAGTTTAGGGGAGATCACTCCCGGTTTATTTAATTTAGTGTGTTGAAAAATTAGTGTAACGATTACAAAACTGCCGCCAAAGAACGCTCTTTTCCATTTGCCGATATCTGGCAAAAATGTTCTGCTTTAGTTTATGAAGCTGTTTTCTCCTTTTTTTTTTTTACAAAATAAGGTTCCTGATCTTATGACTTTGCAAACCATAACATGCAGGACTAGGATGCTAGCTTTTGTCTGTCTGACCCATACCCACGCAGATATTCACAGCTTAGTTGAACCTGCTCGGAGTGTAAACTCCCGCCGGTATAGCTCTGGGGGGGGGGGGGGTGACAGGAGATTACACTCCCGCTGGTATAGCTCTGGGGTCGTCATGCCTACACTTAATATATATAAACATTTTGTGTTGTCTTCCAAATAATATATTAATACGTTATAGTGACGTAGGCAGAAGGTATTTGGTTTAGAACCCCCAACCCCCCCCCCCCCCCCCGCCCCCCACTCCCGTGGACTCCAAAATAAAATCCAATTATCATGAACAGGCTACCACTGAAATTATTTTTTTACCGGAGTTATCGCCTTAGACCAGCCCCATTTAGGGTACTTAGGGCGTCGTTAAAGTTTCCCGTTCAACCTATTACCACGACTAGCATGACAACCAATGGAACAATCTACAGACACGCCGACATAACTTCCTTAACTCGGCTTTATACACTACGCCGTCAACGCCTGTCTGGCGCCCCTGTGCGCCCTGCACGGTATCTCTGTCACCACCATAGAAGGGATTGGAAGCATCAAGACTAAGCTTCACCCAGTACAGGTAGGTTGGTCACGTCACGCTGTGTTGCTTTATATTTTTACACCACCCTATGTCGTCACACGGCGTCACAGTAGATCCCCCCCCCCCTCACACACTCACACTCATCCACATATAACATGGTTTTACGTCATTCTAATATTAGCTCTAAACTAATTGTACATTAACACGTTTTTTTTTCATCATTTTCAGTGTTTAAAAAAAATACAACAAATACTTGCTACGACACGGTTAAATCCCCACTCCCCCCCCCCCCCACCTCCTTCGCCCAGACGTCTTACACATTATGACGTTTAAAACGCTCGCCTTCCTCCCACTTAGAATGTGACGTCATTTCTAGAAGACCGCTGTGTAGACTCGACTCATACAAGAAATATTGTCAGTGGATTGTGTGATATTTTACTGGCTTCCCGTAAACATAGGTAGCCAGTAAATCCAAATATGTCCACATACATGGTGGGAACGTCAAAATACAATTTGTAAACATAGATAGTGTCCAAATATGTCGACATAGTGGGCATTTCACAACTAGTTAAATCACATAGCACGTACCCCTCCCCCCTTTCCCAAATAATGTTTCTTTTAGACTTTTTTTCTCCGTGGGGGGGGGGGGGGAGGGGCACTTGAAACTTTTGGGGGCGGACTAAATTTTCCAGGAGGCGGACAGACACTAGTAAAATTATATATTTTCTACATAAATTCTTTTTCTTTCGGGGAGGGGGAGGGGGCAGACGTGTTTCCTCGAAGAGATGCCTGAAAGAAACACACTGGTCCCAAATAAATAACCTTATACTACCAGCAACCCTTTTTTTGCGCCACCGCCATACTTATCTTCGCCCTTTGACCCTCCTCTCCCCAGCGCATGATAGCAGAGAGCCACGGCTCACAGTGCGGCTTCTGTACCCCCGGGATCATCATGTCCGTCTACGCCCTGCTCAGGAACAACCCCAAGCCCACAAAGAAGCAGTTGTACGACGCCCTGGACGGTAAGTTATCAGCGGCTGTCAACACTGGGACCAAGATGGTCGTAGTTGTACATGAACAACATGCAGGTTAGAGGTTAATGCTGACTGCCTGTAGGCCACTTGCTCAGTGCTGTATAGGAGCATTTATGTTATAATCATAGCAGGTTTTGGCATTTTAATGGCTCATTTTTTAAGGTGTTGTAAAACATACACAGACACACTCGCAGAAACACATATATATATATATATATATATATATATATATATATATATATATATATATATATATATATAATCGGGTACATAATTATCCTTTATCTAAGGAAACTTGTGCCGGTGTACAGGATACCGACCCATCCTAGACGGTCTCTACCCGTTAACTAAGGTAAAATAAACTGAATTTACAAGTGACAATAATTACATTTTGAAATTTTCAAGCAGGCCATTATGTGCGTTATTTAGTGTAGGTCTAAACATTAGGAGAAAAAATAGTTTTACTGCATTTACGTTAAAGAATTAAAATTTATAAAGCGCACACAATTTACGTTTTTATCATTTAACAAAAGATTGGGTTTTTTTTTAAGGAATATGCTGCTTGTCCAATGGGAGATAACTGCTGTAGGAATGACGATACATCCATTAGCAGCAGTTGTGGCACTTCAAACGATGATTGCAATGGCTTTGGCTACAGTACTGGATACAATACAGATGAAGTAAGTTATTTAATGGTGCTTGTTATAGTATGTTTTGTGGCTTATTTTAATTTCAATGTATTTGTTAACCTTATAAGCAAATTCAGAACCTGTAAAAAAAACAAAGATCTACAAGCTTAAATATGAAATGAAACGTTGTAATAATTATTTTGGATCCACAAATGATTCTAGATCTAGATTCTAATAATTTTATTAATTTACTATTAACCTATTAGAATATATTATTTATTTCTATTAACTTTTTTTAAGCATTCAAATCTTCTTTACTAGATCTAGTCTACATCTAGAATCTAGATCTAGATCAAATTATTAATAATCAATATTCAATAAGTTATTGTTGTACTGACTAGTGTTAAATGTTCAATGAATTATTTTCAAATTTAATTTTTTAAAAATAACCTTTAGGCCTAATATTCAATATTCAACTTAGATCTAGAGCCTAGATCTGCCTAATACTTTGCTTGCTTACTTCACTTGGCCTACTGTAAGTGTAATTACTTTACTTACTTTACAAATTTATTTCAGTATTACGATAAAAATAAAAAACAAGAATCACTGTATGATCCCACACAAGAACCAATTTTTCCACCAGAGTTGAAGGTAGTTTCTAGTCTCTTACAACTATAGAATTTAAATAACACACAATTTCTAATTCTAGATCCCTCTACTCTGGCCTACTTGATACTAGTTTTATTTAATGGTTTTGAAAATGTAAATAAGTATTCTTAGGCCTAGATCTAGTCTAGACAGGCATAAATGAAAAATTTAGAAATGAACTGTAAAATCATTTTACTAAAATTAAAATGACAGCACATTCACAGCCTGCAGTTTCAAAAAAATACTATTAGAAGCTTAAATATTAAACATAAGTTATTGAATGTCTTAAAATTAAGCATTCTCTTCACTATAAAAGCCAGGTAGCTGTAACATAATCCGATTGTTTTATCTCAGCTGAATGTTGATGTCACCTAAAATTAATAATAGTTAAAGATAATATATTGTGATACCTTACAATTAAGCATTCTCTTCATTATGAAAACCTGGTAGTTGTTGCATAATTCCACTATTTTATCTCAGCTGATGTCACCTAAACTAATCGTGGAGTATTTGAGATTTGAATCGGATCGCTGCACATGGCTGCGTCCTACAAATCTGCAGCAGCTGCTAGAAATTAAAAAAGAACATCCTGATTGCATCCTTGTCACAGGCAACACAGAAATAGGTGGGAAATTTTTAATTAACTGGATATATTTGACTCCGAACTCAATCTTAACATAGTGTTGAAGAGTTGTTGTGTAAGAATTTTTATTTTAACTAGAAAAATTTAGCTAACTTTGCAATCTATTTTTATCTAGAACAGTTTTTATGTAGTACACATATTTTTAGAAAAACTATAACATGAAACCAAATTCAATCTATAATATTTAGCTCAAAAACCCATAAAATATCTTTGTTGGGTGTGACCATGTCAATATTGTCCAAGAAATAAACAGATTTATAATCTGTTAAGAATACAATGCATTATTAAATTAGGGCAAAAAATTATATTTATAATTCTACTTTTATAAAGGTCTATAAACTCACTTTAGAAAATGTAACCTTAATTTTCTATCTCTAATCAGGTATAGAAATAAAGTTCAAGCAGCGCAGATGTGGTATACTGGTCAGCCCTGCTTTTGTCAAAGAGTTGAGAGAGGTGACAATTTTAGAGAAAGGCATCAAGTTTGGTGCCTCTGTCACACTGACTGACTTGGAGAAACACCTGAGGAAAGTCGTGGAGACCCTGCCTGGTGAGTCGCTTGTGGATGAATAAAAAGTAGTCCCTTATGGTTTTGTATGTTTGCTTAGTGTGTCCGTAATATAACGTAGTTACTCTTGTTTTTATAAGAATACTTTTACTTTATATGTAGAAGTAGTTACACATGTTTGTGTAGCATATGTTAACTTGTATGTCCTAAAGCTAAGTAATTACCTAATTTTTATGTTAACATTATAAAAGAAAAAAGAATCCTCTTAAGGGGATATGCGCGGAAAAAAATCACACAATTTGTTTTTCGTCATGATGGGTTTCTTGCACTTTTGGATACTTTATCCATTTTTGTATAAAGAAAATAATAACATTAAAGAGAAAAAAATATTGTATATGTTGAAATTACGATTTTTATGACCCTATTAATTAAAAAATAATCAATTTTTCCCAATCTTACAAGCTCTCTATGAAAAGCTTTATATCCGTCATTATATTGTATTTGACATCATTGGAAAGCTGGATTTCTCATGTATCTAATAAACTTAATTTCTTACATCTCGGAAACACCCAAAGCTTACAATCGGCTTTGCAGTATACACAGATATGGTACTTTCCTGACCTAGTTTTCGTTACTTTTTGCTGTTTTTCTCAGTTCGCAGGTTTTTAACACTAAAAAGCCTACTACTTTTTTATTTATTAAACAATGCCAACCATATTTTTAGTAAATGTTCTTCATGCGAAAATACAACTTTTGTCACGAGGGAATTGTGATTGCTTTCATAGAAAAAAAGTATTGGGTAATTAATATGCACATTTTGAAACTTTTGAATACTAAAAAGGGTACGATTTTTTAAACCTTGTAAAATTCTTACTAATAATTATTTCAAAAAGTTGTCGTGACAAAAGTTTTAATATATACTGAAATATAAGCAGTTTAAATTTGATTGCTATAGGTGCATAAATAAAAAAGCCTTAGTATTTTTAAAAGTACCAAAAAATTCAAAGTGGCGGAGGTTTTTTGGGTTTCCATGACAACCGAAATTGTTTTCGACCCTCTTTTTTGCTGTTTAATACTTATTTTTATATGCCAAATATGATAAAAGTATTCAAAAGGCTTTAGAACTTAAAGTGTAAAAAATAGAAAAAAACATAGCATATCCCCTTAAGACCTAGCAATCCATTGGACCGATGAAGTAGAGTTTATGTTTCTTGACCTTGGCATATGAAGGGAACGTTTGGTCAGCACTTTGCCAAGCCACCTTTACCTTCCCGAACGTAAGTTAGATACCCATCAGAGTTGGGTGGACTCAGGGATGTTCTACTGGCTTGGACCCGGATTCGAGCTCAAGACTTTCATGTTAGCAGCCTAGCACTACCGTTTAGGCCATGCCACCTGACATGTTAATATTGTAGCCATTACAAAATATTTATGTAGTTATTGTAATTTACATCATGTTTTTAACAATAATAAATGTAACATGTTTACTTTATAAAATTACAGCTGTATTTAATATGTTTTTATTATCTTCTCTATTGTTTGGAAATAACAGAAGAAAAAACTCGAGTGTTTGCTGGTTTTATTGACATGCTTGGATACTTTGCTGGACGCCAGATTAGGAATGTTGCAGTAAGTAGCAGTTTTAAAATTAAAGTTTTTCTGGAGTTGACTATTGTGTTTAACACATCAATGAGTTACGTCAATGAAGGCTAGAAAATTAAATTTTGTCTTTGTGATGGGAATTAGTGTTAATTTTTTCATTATGGGACTGTAATAATAGCACATGTTTATTTGTCCAGTTATGTTTGAAAAAAAAAATGTTGTTATCTTGCTGTAGTCACTAGTGTAGATTTTGAATAAATGAATCTCACAAGTAAAATGTCATTGTTTACTTTAAAATGAAATAGATTGTTTAAATATCTATTTTTTCTTAGTAAAACTACATATACTTATCTAAACATGTTTATTTAAAGTTTAAAAGTTTGAACTACATCAAGATCAATGTAACTAAAACTGAATGGCATAAACTTTTATTTCATACAGTTAAAAATATATATAATCTCTACTTTCTCTTTTCAAACTTTTCATTTCATACAGTTAAAAATATATATAATATCTACATTCTCTTTTCAAACTTTTCATTTCATACAGTTAAAAATATATATAATCTCTACATTCTCTTTTCAAACTTTTCATTTCATACAGTTAAAAATATATATAATATCTACATTCTCTTTTCAAACTTTTCATTTCATACAGTTAAAAAAATATATAATATCTACATTCTCTTTTCGAACTTTTCATTTCATACAGTTAAAAATATATATAATATCTACATTCTCTTTTCAAACTTTTCATTTCATACAGTTAAAAAAATATATAATATCTACATTCTCTTTTCAAACTTTTCATTTCATACAGTTAAAAAAATATATAATATCTACATTCTCTTTTCAAACTTTTCATTTCATACAGTTAAAAAAATATATAATATCTACATTCTCTTTTCAAACTTTTCATTTCATACAGTTAAAAAAATATATAATATCTACATTCTCTTTTCAAACTTTTCATTTCATACAGTTAAAAAAATATATAATATCTACATTCTCTTTTCAAACTTTTCATTTCATACTGTTAAAAAATATATAACATCTACATTCTCTTCTCAGAGTCTTGGAGGCAATGTGATTAATGCCAGCCCCATTTCAGATTTGAACCCACTTCTGTTGGCCTGTAGGGCAGAGATTGAATTTGATGCCTTAGGTTGGTTTTTATATCCATGCTAATCATTGTTTATTTATAAACTTATTGACAGTCAAGCTGGAAGAAGTTATATGGTCATGTGACATCCCATGTGATCATCAGTTAAGTTGAAGTTAGTGACAATGCTAGTTTTGTCCTATCTCCACTTGTCTTTTGTTTATTTTTACTTTCTCATATATACGAAGTATAGAGAAAGTATTGTAATCGTGCAAAAAAAAAAAATCGAGATTTTTACAAATCTCGACGTTTTACACCTCACTGATACGGAAAAACATAATTTTGCAATCTTGTCCGTATGTCTGTGTGTGTGTCTGTGTGTCCGTGTGTAAACACGATAACTTGAGTACCGTTACAGCTAGTCTGGTGAATTTCATATATAAGTATTTTATCAAAATCGTAGATCCGTATCAACTTTTGAGCAAATTCCGATAACCGGAAGTGGTACTTTTTCTACTTTGAATTTTTCAAAAGCCTATAACTTGAGTACTAGATAGATAAATGAAATTTCACATGTTAGTAAAAGATCTAATTCTCTACCATCTGTCAAACTTTGAGTAATTTCCGTTGACCGGAAGTACTTATTTACGCTTTTTCCAATTTCTCAAAAACGCATGTAAATTTATAAAGTACTAATAATATTGCGCACTATTATGCGCTTTTTTATTTAGCGTTCACTTGGTGTGCATTTCTTTTTTCTACGAGATTATATTCTACTTTAAGAAATGTGAGTAATTAAAATGGATTAAAAATCATGTCTAGAAGTCTATATCCCGAGTTGCCATCCCCTGTAGTGTTATATTAGAATATTCGAGAAAGTTTAGGGGAGATCACTCCCGGTTTTTTTATTTATGTAGTAAAACTGTTTTAAGGCCATAACAATACAGTCACCTTAACTATTCTTCATAAGAACAAGGAAGCCGGACGGTAAAGATGGACACTGATTTTTTCCGAGGTTATAAAAAGACCAGGATGAGGCCCCATGAGATTCTTGTGGCCATTACACTGCCATTTACATCTGAGGTAAGGCCACTTAGCCAGTCTGGACAATAATATCTGAGGTAAGGCCACTTAGCCAGTCTGACCAATCACATCTGAGGTAAGGCCACTTAGCCAGTCTGACCAATCACATCTGAGGTAAGGCCACTTAGCCAGTCTGACCAATCACATCTGAGGTAAGGCCACTTAGCCATGTCTGACCAATCACATCTGAGGTAAGGCCACTAAGCCAGTCTGGACAATAATATCTGAGGTAAGGCCACTAAGCCATGCCTGACCAATCATATCTGAGGTAAGGCCACTAAGCCAGTCTGACCAATCACATCTGAGGTAAGGCCACTAAGCCAGTCTGACCAATCACATCTGAGGTAAGGCCACTTAGCCATGTCTGACCAATCACATCTGAAGTAAGGCAACTTAGCCATTTTGTGTAAAACCCACATAGCATGATGGCCAAAACCCACAGACAAAATATTAAAATAAGTTTAGTTCATTTTTATAATACTTTTAGTTTATTTTTATTTTAAAATTATTGTTGTATTAAAAAAAAAAGCCTTATATTTAGAAAAAACATGAAATGCAAAAAAAAAAACTACTTAATTCAAATTATATTAGTTCCTGATGCTTTAGATCTCTGTAGTACAAATCAAACAGTCTATTACATTTAAAGCTTTGTATTATGTGATCACAAATCCAACAACCTAATCTCATCTGTTAAGCCAGGTATTATGTGATTAAAAATCTAACAATCTCATCTGTTAAGCCTGGTATTATGTGATCACAAATCCAACAACCTAATCTCATCTGTTAAGCCTGGTATAATGTGATGACTGTGTTTTCAGAACGAGTATTTCTTTGGGTACAAGCAAGCCAGCAGAAGGGAAGACGACATCTCCATTGTGAATGCTGGGATGAGAGTGGACCTAGATCACAATGGGAAAATAATTAAAGACATTCAGCTGGCATTTGGTGGCATGTCCGTCAATACAGTCCTTGCTACAAAAACAATGGAAGCGCTCAAAGGGAGGTCAGTCTAATTGATTTTAAACTGTTAACAGGAGTTGAAGATACATAAAAAAAAAATTGTATATACTGTTTTGATTTTTGTAAACCTTTCTTTAAAGAAAAAAAAATCAGAATAATGAGAATTATGGCTATTATTCTTTTAATGGTACATAAAAAAGTACACATTAAACTTGTGTTATTATTTTTAATTTCAGAAACAAATCTAATTAGTCTGTATCAGAATATTGACTAAAATTATCTTTACTGAAAAATTATTTACATTTTTTGTAAACAATAATATTTTTCTTAGAGTGTGGGATGAGTCAGTGCTGGACACGGCATGCTCTCAGGACATGCTGCCTGCTGACCTGCCTCTTCCACCTGGTTCTCCAGGTGGGATGGTGGCCTACAGAAGAGCCTTGACCTTGAGCTTCTTCTTCAAGTTTTACACCGCAGTCACCAATAGGCTTCAACAGGTGGGTCATTTAACAAGTTGGTCATTGAACAAGTTGGTCATTTCAACAAGTGGGTCATTTAACCAGTTGATCATTTCAACAGTAGGTCATTTAACAAGTGGGTCATTTAACCAGTTGATCATTTCAACAGTGGGTCATTTAACAAGTTGGTCATTTCAATAGGTTAGGCATGATATAGATAGAAAGTTAGGATCTCATTTGGTGGGTTATTTTTAAGAGGTGGGTCATTCTAACAAGTTGGTCATTGTATAGATAACTTGATTGGCGATCAACATTTGACTTCTAGAAAATCATTAGGAAACAAATTTATTAACTGTTCATCAAAATTTAACTTCCAGAGAGTCATTATGAACCATAAAGTTATTGTCCATTAACATAAAACCTCTAGCAAGTCATTATGAACCAAAATATTACTGTCCAATACCAAATCTACTTCCAGAAAGTGATTATGAATCTAATGATGCCGGAGAATGTCAGTGCAAGCGAACCCTTACACAGGGGGATAAGCTATGGCAGCCAGTTCTACGCTGTCAAACACCCAGACTCCAGTTTTGACACGGTGGGGAGACCACTGGTCCATGTTGCTGCCCACAAACAGGTGACAGGGGAGGCTATATATCTGGATGACATCCCCATAGCCGAAGGTAACTTGGCAGGTTGTCTGTGATACCATAATTAATTATTTTATCAGGTAAAAAGAATTACATGTAATTTTTAAAATTAAAAAGGATTTCTGAAATTTTTACTAAACATGGAATAATAGGGACTGCTAGAGATAATAGGAAATTTGTTGTCTTTATTTTAGAGGGATCATTTAATTTGCATTTGAAAATGAAGAAAAAAGAAAGTGTGGGCTGAATTTAATATTTGTTATATAAGTTATTTTAAGTAAAAATCAATTAAACTTAATTAGTAAATGCTGATGATAGGGAATAAATGGAATAAGATCTTCTTCTTCTTCGTTCTTAATTATTAGTGTGGAAGGGGATCGAGATTTATCTGCCAGTTGGTTTGAACTCGAGACTTATTTCGAATTTGTCAACCATAAGCTTTTTGCCGACTCGACCACGCCTCCAACACAATTAAGCGTTACGTGTCAACTGGTTATGCGCCATTGAGGCCATTGACTCCGATTTCAGCCTGCTTTTCTTTTAGGATTTGCTTCCATAGCCTTTGTCCAACCAAGAACAAACTACAAGGCAGCAGTTGTTTAATTTTGGAGTTGTCTCTCCTAGAAAAGTGGCTGACCCCAGCTAACGAGCCTCATCTGCCCGAGGGTTTGAACTCGAGACTTTTTCGGTTTAGCAACTATGAGCTTTACCGACTCGACCACGCCGACCACTTGGAATAAGATAAGCAACTGCTTGTCTAGATTCACATCTCCTGCAAGACTACATATTATTCTAGGAAAGATATAATATGATATTATTCATTTAGTACATTTAAGCAAATAGTACTAGATATTTTTGTTTATTTAAATGGAGTTATTCTATTTCCCACTATGCTAATCCCAGGTTAAGAAACAAACAAAAAGCTAGTTATGAATACAGTTGTGTGGGTTGGGAAAGAATGGTCTAGAAGTATGGGTTAGCCAAATCAGGAGGTAATAACCTTGGTTCCAATTTGAAAAATCTTGAGTTTGGTTCATGACTCAGTGGTATACCAATGAGTTCCCTCAACACTTTAGGAGCACATAGAAAAATTGAGCAGCAAGCTATGATACTGACCAACACAAACAATTTTACCTGGTCAAACAAACACATAGAAAAATTGAGCAGCAAGCTAAGATACTGACCAACACAAACAATTTTACCTGGTCAAACAAAAGATACAGCCTGCCTATGGAAATTTGGTCCAAATGTGTTAAATTTATCTGGACACTTGTAGGTGAGCTGTTCCTGGGACTGGTGACCAGCAAGAAAGCTCATGCACATTTGCTGAAGGTTGACCTGACACCTGCCCTATCCATGCCAGGGGTAGTGGACGTGGTTGACTACCGCGATGTTCCTCAAGAAAACAACTGGGATGTCAAGGAGCAGGTCTTTGCCAAAGATAAGGTATGTGTGCGGGACAAGCTGGTGTTATAATAATTTTTTTATCGTAGCATATTTATATAACTACATACATAACCATTTTATATCACTTAAAATTCTATACAAAATATTTATAATATTTGAATCGGCTCACTATTTAAAATTATTTATTTTTGTATTTATATTAATTTAATTAAAATAAGTCTTCAGCAATTTATAAAATATATTTTAATAAAGTAAATAAACTTATAACTGTTGATGATGGCACTTGTTGTGCATCATCAGGTAGTGCATGAGGGCCAGATTATTGCTGCTGTGATTGCCAAATCCCATGCTGAAGCCCAAAGGGCAGCCCACAGTGTAATTGTTGAGTATGAGGATTTGGAGTCGGTGGTTACCATCAAGCAAGCCATAGACAAGAATTTGATCCACCCTACAACATTCAAGGTAAACCTTCAAATTTAAACAAAGGGTTAATTTAAAAGCTCCAAATTTTTCTTTTTAAAAATGTTTTATCATTGCAGTATAATACAATATTAGAGTAGGCCCTAATATTAAATTAAATTTACAAATTTCTAATTTCACTAAATGTCACTCTAATGTCACTAGTAGACTTAAATTTCTTATAAAATTCACACAAAAGCAATTCAACATTTTATTTACTTTAACATGGATTGAAATGGCATAACAATTTGCTTTCATATGCTAAACATTTGACTTTTTAAAATATTTAATTACACATTGAAATGTAAACAATATAAAATGTAACCCATGTTTTTCTTTCTTCTTAAAAGTTTAATTTTTAATATTCTGCCTTAAACCTAACAGTATTCTTCCATAAATAAAATCCCTATTAACTTGTTGATTGTGAACTGTCCAACATTAGAGGCAATATTCTTATGTTGTGTCTATTGTCTACTGCTCCACGATCTAGCTAGAGACGGGTGATGTGGATGCAACTTTCTCTGCCTGTTCCCATGTTGTTGAAGGAGACATGCACGTATCAGCGCAGGAACATTTCTACCTGGAGCCTCAGGGGTGTGTGGTCTACCCGAAGGATGTGGGGGAGATTGAGGTGGTGGCCACCACACAATCTCCCACACAGATGCAGGTAGAGAAGATTTTACCTGTGTTGGGCTATGTATGAGTAAATATTGATTATACTGATGTCAGATGATTATCCAAACAAATGTGTAATTAAAAAATACTTTAAATTGGAGGTAATTTAATTGTTTTAAATGGTTTAACATTTTTTACTGAAATATTTTTGCTAAATCAAATGGATAAGGAAAATAAGAATACTTTACCTGTATTTTGTTGTTTTTTTATCATCAGAAATGTCTTATCAAGGTCCTTGGCTTTTCAGCAAACCACATCACAGTCAAAGTAAAAAGACTTGGTATGACCATTTTTTTTTTCATTTAGTTGATTCTTAATTGGAATTTTAGATGTATTTATGATAAGCTTGAAAGATCAAAATGTAAATTAATAATAAGCAAAACTGCATAGAGTGATATTTTTTTAATTATTTTTTTTATATATTTATTTAAATAATTTTATCTGCATCAAAATTTTATTTCTAAAAACAATCTATTTAATTTTTAAGTATCTCTGACACTTTGAATGTTGACCAAGTAATAATAAAGCAATAAAGAATATTGACGTAACTAATGTAATGTGAATGTTGTGCATGTAAATGTTGTGCGTGTAGTGATACACTAATGACAATATAACACTCAGGATTGTGTTCTCAGGTGGAGGTTTTGGTGGAAAAGAGACGAGAACAACATCGGTTGTTTTACCTACAGCAGTTGCAGCTGTCAAGTAGGCTTCACTGTTTATTTGACCTCACAACCCTTTCTCTATTGTAACTCCAACCATCACTCACTTTTATCTAATCATTATCTACTATAATCACAACCATTACTCCCTTTTATCTAATCATTATCTACTATAATCACAACCATTACTTCCTTTTATCTAATCATTATCTACTATAATCACAACCATCACTCCCTTTTATCTAATCATTATCTACTATAATCACAACCATTACTTCCTTTTATCTAATCATTATCTACTATAATCACAACCACCACTCCCTTTTATCTAATCATTATCTACTATAATCACAACCACCACTTCCTTTTATCTAATCATTATCTACTATAATCCCAACAACCACTCCCTTATTATCTAATCATTATCTACTATAATCACAACCATTACTTCCTTTTATCTAATCATTATCTACTATAATCACAACCACCACTCCCTTTTATCTAATCATTATCTACTATAATCACAACCATCACTTCCTTTTATCTAATCATAATCTACTATAATCACAACCACCACTCCCTGTTATCTAATCATTATCTACTATAATCACAACCACCACTCCCTTTTATCTAATCATTATCTACTATAATCACAACCATTACTCCCTTTTATCTAATCATTATCTACTATAATCACAACCATCGCTTCCTTTTATCCAATCATTATCTACTATAATCACAACCATTACTCCCTTTTATCTAATCATTATCTACTATGATCACAACCATTACTTCCTTTTATCTAATCATTATCTACTATAATCACAACCACCACTCCCTTTTATCTAATCATTATCTACTATAATCACAACCACCACTCCCTTTTATCTAATCATTATCTACTATAATCCCAACCATTGTTCCCTTTTATCTAATCATTATCTACTATAATCACAACCATTACTTCCTTTTATCTAATCATTATCTACTATAATCACAACCATTACTCCCTTTTATCTAATCATTATCTACTATAATCACAACCATTACTTCCTTTTATCTAATCATTATCTACTATAATCACAACCATTACTCCCTTTTATCTAATCATTATCTACTATAATCACAACCATCTACTATAATCCCAACCATCTACTATAATCCCAACCATAATTCCCTTTTATCTAATCACTAGCTGTTGGTACCCGTTACATGTGAATTATAGGCCTATATATTAGGATGTTACATTTGTTTGAAAAAATGTTTTATAAAAAAGTTTTTGGTCAAAACGATATTAGTGAGAAAGCAAAGAAATAAAGAAATAACTAAATAGCTAAAAATCCAACACATTTAAAATAACATAGACTACCAATACCTATTAGAAAAATTAAAAACAAATTATATACATTATTAGTCAACACAACACCATATTAAATGACACTGTACTTTGAATATGTAATACTCCATGAAACAGCCCCCTCTTACTTAACAGACCTATTTTCTTTTAACACAAAATTAAATCGATGTCTTAGTTTACAGATCCCATATACAACTTTTTTTCCAAAAACATAGCTTCGCCTACTCTGGTTCTAATTTGTGGAACAATCTTCCTAATAAAATAAAACTATCTAGATCTGAAAATATATTCAAAACTAAACTTGAACAACAATTATTTAATGACCTCTCTGACTCATTGCAACAGTTCTCATTCATCTATTATATTACCTCATGTTGTATAGTAACTATGTAATATTATTTCTTTATTCCACATTATTAGTGCTATGTTTATGCCATGTCTTTACTAAGCAATTTGTTTATTTTAAGATGGCCAAATTGATCAAAAACATCCAAGCCCATTATATTGTTACTGTTATTGAATAAATTGAATAAATTGAAATGTATCATTTCATAAAGCTAAGGGTCTATCAATTTAACTAGTGGAAAAAATAATAATTTTTTTTGTATGATGTATAGAGTATAGAAAATAGTCATATAAGATTTTGAATATTAATCTTTTGTAAATTAATAAAGAACGCTAAACAAGTTTTGTTGTATTGCTATTTAATTTCTTTCCAATTAAACATTTTTATCTACCACAGTTTTAGGTTGTCTCTCTTGTTTCTTTTGAGCTTATAAATGGGAAGTAACTTCAAAATATTTATATTCTATTTCAAATTTGGAAACTGCTCTGTTGCTTATATTAACCAGTTTAAGATAAACTATAAAGAAGAAGTATATATATAGATCTAGCTGTAATCTTTGGAATTAAGTGCCTGTAAATCTTTTTAAAATATATTTTTAAACTCAACGTCAAATTTCTTCTTTTTTTTCTATTTTTAAAAATTAGAAAACGTCTGCTTACATTGTCATACATTTTTTTTCATGCTTTCATCAGCACTACTCAGTTTCCCTATAGTTTAGAAACTGCTGATCATCTGTTATCCCTAGCACTGTTTCCTTTCATCATCTCTTGTTTTATTTCACCTTACTCTTGCCTTTACTCTCTTCTTTTCTCATGTTATCTGTGGCACTGAAGATCTCACCTTTTTTATTCTTTTTTTTTGCTTCTTATCACATTACCTTTCACATTTTCACATTTTGCTGTATGACTGATTTCTCTTTATAAATCCTATATAAAACTAAAATATTAACTATTCATTTCAAAAAGAGTAATTTTTAAAGATAAAATAAATCTAAAACATTTTATGAAAAAAAGACTATCATTGTCACTGGTGAAATTTTTTTTAGACCTTGTATTTTTGATATATCAAATTATGTCTGATCACAGAACCAACCTTCCAGTACGATGTATTTTAGATCGAGATGAAGACATGTGTCTGACTGGTACTAGGCATCCAGCATACATTAAATATAAGGTAAATTTGAAAAAAAAATTCTTTGGCAGAGCAGTACAAAAAATCTGGGGAAAGCTTTAAAAAAAATGATTCAGGCGTACTTTATTGTATACTATTTAGCCAATATTGTTTTACCTAAAGATTATTTACACAAACTGTGAATGAAACAGGAATTATAGATGATGATTGGTTGATTCTGTTTCAGATTGGCTTCAATAACTCTGGGAAAATTCTTGCACTGGATGCTCAGCTGTATCTTAACATGGGGCACTCTGTTGATCTGTCCACTGCTGTAAGTCTTCTGTGGGTGGGGTGAATAAAAGATCACTGCTGTAAGTCTTCTGTGGGTGGGGTGAAAAAAAGATCACTGCTGTAAGTCTTCTGTGGGTGGGGTGAATAAAAAACCACTGCTGTAAGTCTTCTGTGGGTGGGGTGAATAAAAGATCACTGCTGTAAGTCTTCTGTGGGTGGGGTGAAAAAAAGATCACTGCTGTAAGTCTTCTGTGGGTGGGGTGAATAAAAAACCACTGCTGTAAGTCTTCGGTGGGTGGGGTGAATAAAAGGTCACTGCTTTAGGTCTTCTGTGGTTTGGGTGGGATGGGTGAATAAAAGACCTTTGCTTTAGGTCTCTGCTTCTGTGAGTGGGGTGAATAAAAGACCTTTGCTTTAGGTCTCTGCTTCTGTGGGTGGGGTGAATAAAAGACCTTTGCTTTAGGTCTCTGCTTCTGTGGGTGGGGTGAATAAAAGACCTTTGCTTTAGGTCTCTGCTTCTGTGGGTGGGGTGAATAAAAGACCTTTGCTTTAGGTCTCTGCTTCTGTGGGTGGGGTGAATAAAAGACCTTTGCTTTAGGTCTCTGCTTCTGTGGGTGGGGTGAATAAAAGACCTTTGCTTTAGGTCTCTGCTTCTGTGGGTGGGGTGGGGAGAAAAAAAAGCACTTCTGTAAGTCTCAGAGGGTGGGGAGGGTAAAATAGGTCATCAGAATGGAAAATAAGGAATAACTCAAAATTACCAGTAGCAGGTCAATCTTTAAAGAAAGAATAAATATAGGCTATATGAACATATTCAATTACTTGCTAGAGGAGGCATTAGACAGAAAGTCATTGGAATATGAGCCTGACACGAGCAACTAATAACAACTAATATATTTTTTCAATGCTGATATATATCTTAATTTTTAAAATATGGTTACTTTATTTTATTTCATATAAACAACACAGATATTAATGAATTTTATAAAGTACTCTGCTTGTGCTAGATTGTGTAACCTCAGCTTGTAGAAAACATATATTTGTTTTAGGTTTTAGAAACTGCTCTGCTTGCACTAGACAGCGCCTACAAGACACAGAACTTCAGGGCCAAGGGTTATCTCTGCATGACCAACCTAACATCTTGTACAGCTTTCCGGGGTTTTGGGGCGCCGCAGGCTATAATCATGGCAGAGAACTGGATAAGTCATGTAGCTGACACACTGGAGATGCCATCAGAGGAGGTGGGTTCAAATTCACTTCTGTCACTTTAATTATTAATTGCTTTTCTTGGGTGCTGTCCCTTTAGCAAAGGAAAGGATTAGGTTCAAAGATAAGATTAAGTGATTGGAAATAGGTTTGAGTTTTTTTTTTCATTTCCTATGTTGGTTTAGCTAACTAATTATCTTATTAGGGTAATCTATCAAATATATGATATTAAGTAATTCATAATACTTTTGATCAAAATATTTTCGGCTTTAAAATGTGTACATTAAAAAACTAAATAGAATCCTATTCTTCCTACCGTTACCAAACAATGATTTATATTTTTTAAATGTGTTGGGTTGTTAATATTAGTGTAATGTACTTTATACTGTTAAGGTTATGATTAGTGTTATGAATAATAGGTTTTCATTTATTGATAGGGTTTGTTTTGACACTAGCAAGCTATATTAGTTAATCTAAAACCTTTCTCAATGAACATTTTTATATTGTGGTATGGAAGAATGCTCAAGAAACAATTGTAACTTTGTTTTGTAGGTGAGGGAGAAAAACTTTTACAAAAGTGGGGACTCTGTCCCCTGTGGTCAGGTTCTGAGTGGTTGCAATTTAACAAGATGTTGGCAGGAGTGTATTAAAAACAGTGACTTTTACAACCGAAAAGAAAAAGTGGAGCAATATAATAGGTAATTTATTTTTATTGAGGAACTCATTTTATATTTGAGATTCATTTATAAATTATTAGTTATCAGTTTTTTTATATAAAATTGTTTACAAAATAATTACATTGTTTTGTTCATTACAATCTTTGTTATTTTCACATATATGTATTATAAATTAAAAATTACTTATTCTAAGATTGGATAATCTAAAACAACATTTTACAAAGTTTTGCCTATTCTGAAAGCACAAATATGTGATTATAAAGAAATGCATCGTCACAAAATCTAGTTTTAAAATTGTCTTAGAAGTAACATAGCAGGAGATTTAGTTTGTTTCAATAACTACTAATTGTGAAAAGATTTGAGCCTATATAAAAATAAATTTACAGTTTAATAATAACTTTTCAGACAAAATATATAACATTTTAGAAAAAAACAAATAAACATAATATTTCATTGAAAACAATATAACTAAAGAAAATAATGAAAATGTTTCTGAGAAAATAATGTATTAATTACTTTTCAGGGAAAACCGGTGGAAAAAAAGAGGAATAACCGTAACACCTCTGAAATGTGGGCTTGCATTTCTTCTTCAGTCAATGAACCAGGTCAGTTTACAGAATATTTTTGTCACAATCATTTCAATCAGAAGTACAAACTTCAGGTATTTACTAATTACTAAACAAAAAGAAAATCCAACTTTTTTATTACAGGGTGGAGCTCTGGTTCACATCTACACTGATGGGACAGTTCTTGTGGCCCATGGTGGAATTGAAATGGGTCAAGGCTTGCACACAAAAATGATACAGGTGAAGAAGTTATTTGTGTTTTGTAATAAGGTTTCTCTCATCTTAATCTCTAAAAAATATATGGAGTTTTCATTTATTCACTTTCTCAAAAAAAAAAATTTACACTTTAATGGTGTAGTTTTCATTGATTCACTTTCTCGAAAAATACAGTCACTTATTAAATGTTTCAGTTTTCATAGATTCATTATTTTAATATTAGTCTTTTTGAAATAAATTTAACATGAGAACAGCAGACCATTTAATCAAGTAAACTGGTTTTTTTTTATTGTTTGAAAACATTGGTTAAAAACTGTTAAACATTAAAAAAAAAATATCCAAATTAAATGTTATTCCATCAGGTAGTGAGCAAGGAACTGGACATACCAGTGTCCTGCATTCACATAAACGAGACATCCACAGCTACCATACCTAACACAGGCCCAACAGCTGCCAGCATGTCCTCTGATCTCTATGGAGCTGCTCTCATTGTAAGTCATTTGCCCTTTAATAATGACCTGCTTTTATTGTGAGGATGGTCATTTACCATTTAGTAATGTCCTGCTGTTATTGTGAGGATGGTCATTTACAATTTAGTAATTCCTGCTCACATTGAATATTTCCAGCTAGATTATTACAGTAGTTTCTTGGTTTAGGGTATCTTTTACAAATAATGTTGTATTGATATTTTTAATGGGTTAAATCAAATATAAAAACTAGTAAGTTATAACTAAGATGTATATCATATAGAATCCACTGTATGTCTAAGCTCTTAGTTTAAATGTATATGTAGTGCTGTATGATGCTCCAAAGCTAATTTATTAGCTTTTATAAAGCTCAAATATTGTTTTAACAAAATGTGCACTAGTTTCACTCCATTTACAAAAAAACACATTTTCATGAATATCATTTATAAGTAAAGTTTGTATGTCTATGACAGGATGCATGTAGACAGTTAAAAGAAAGATTAGCCCCATACAGGGCAGCTGATCCTGAAAAGACAATAAAGGATTGGGTGAGTGAAAAACTTCATGTTTTACTCATGGGATTTTTGAGTACAGAGATCAGCATGGTCTAGTGGTAGAGCAGTCTACTGCTGACCCAAAAGTATCAAGTTTGGCTTGAGAATTAAGGAGCCGCTGAGTCCACCCAGATTTAATAGGTTACTGACTTGAGTCAGGGAAAGTTAAAATGGCTTGGATTAGTGCTGATCACACCATCTGTTAGTCAGTTCCAATTCATACTGGGCATGCATCAATTAGTTCTGGAATAACAGTGACCTCTGACCTTTCAATGCTTATTGGCCTAGACATCCATGAGACCAAAATTTCAAATAAAATTAATTTATTTTATTTTTAAGTTTGTTGTATGTGCATTCTCTTGTGGCTGTTAATTTATATTAATTATACAAAAAAAGAAGTTGATACTAACTTCACCTTAGTTCATAAATTCACAAAGCTAGTTAACAAATCTGTTTGATTGTACTTTATTTAAACTACACACCAGCTGGTAGTTGTCCTTATTGTTAACACATTAAGCCAAGACTTACTCTTGTCTCTTCTATTAAGGCCCACAATGCTCACCAAGACAGAGTGTGTTTATCAGCTGTTGGATATTACAAGTGAGTTTTTACTTTCAGACCAGGAATCTTGATATTGGCAGTTCTACATTCTGGGGAGGGGGGGGGGAATAAAACGCCAAGTCAAACTACAAGCCCAATATATAATCATTAAATATATACCAACATGTAATGCGCAATATGGCCAGTTGACTCCAACTTCAATCTGCTTTAATTTCTGGAACTGAACTTGAGACTTTTAGAATAGTTTAAATAGGAGAATTAGTTAAAATAGGTTTTGGTTCCAAGTTTGTACTTTGTATTTCATACTTTGTATTTCTGCTAGACTTGAAGGCGTCTCTTTGGACTGGAACAAAAAGGTCAACAACCCTTTCAGTTATTTCTGTTATGGCGCCGCCTGTGCTGAGGTGGAGATTGACTGTTTGACAGGTGACCACCAGGTGAGATTCATTAAATTAAAACACATTCTGCTGAACAAGGTTAATAACACATTCTGCTGAACAAGATAAATGAAAAAATATGTGTGATGAGTTTTGGAAAAAATATTTCTAAAATTTACTCATTAATGCATATTTTAATTAAAAATGTTCAGGTGCTGAGGACTGACATTATCATGGATGTTGGTCAAAGTCTCAATCCAGCCATTGATGTAGGTCAGATTGAAGGGGCTTTCACACAGGTAACTTTCTCACCAACACACAATACATTAATTAGGATAAATTATTGACTAACAGCAAATAATAAATAGTTTAAACTACTTAAGATCTAGTAAAATTTCAAGAGGTTTTAAGCATGAAAAAATACTGCTTACGATTTTTTTTTAAATTATTATGTTGATCTGTCTGTAACTACCTATATGGCTATGGATTAATGATATCTTGTAATGTTACAATCTTTAATGACTGATGATAATATCTGTTTAACACAATCTTCAGGGCTATGGGCTGATGATGCTTGAGGAATACAAGGTATCACCAGCAGGTATTCACCTGTCAAGAGGACCAGGTAACTACAAGATCCCATCCTTTGCCAACATACCTCAAGTCATGAACGTGTCACTGCTCAAAAACAGTAAAAATCCAAGGGCAGTGTACTCATCCAAAGTAAGAAGTTTTTCAAGAATTATTGTGTTAATATTAAATTCTAAATATTTTTTGTTAAAAATAAAATTTTATATTAATAGATTGAACATTTTTTAAATTGTGATAGTAATACAACCTCAATAGCCTTTACATTTTGAAAAAATATATTCTTCTATGTGGAGTGTATTGTCACATTTGATTAACACTAATCCATTAAACAGGGGATTGGGGAGCCTCCACTTTGCCTGGCAACATCAGTGCTGATGGCCACAAAAGAAGCAATCAAAGCTGCCAGATTGGACTCAGGCCTTAAAGGCTATTTTTGTTTGAACACACCAGCAACCCCAGAGAGGATCAGGCTGGCTTGTCAGGATAAGTTTGCTCAGATGGTAAACACAATTTGTTTAGGGATAAAATTTATTTATTACATTAAATAAAGGGAGACAGGTCTGTAAGATTGGATTGTTATGATTAAGTTTGCTCAGATGGTAAACTGCATTAATTGTTTATAGATAAAAAAATATTTTTAAAAATGTATAGAATTGCATGAAATAAATAAAGATAGGTCTGTTGATCTTACATACCATCCTACTGCTTATAGTGAAATGAAATTTCTATAGAACTTTGACATTTCCACAGTCATTTACTGTTTTACATTATTGACCTGTATTTTGGTGTGGGGTATCTTAAATAAAAATAAGCAAACTTAGTTAGTTTGAAGATGTAGCAGCAAATTAAACTGAGTTTTGATTATATTTTATTTTCAGTTTACTGAGGATGCTGAAAAGGATGCAGAAAAACCCTGGACAGTTGTGTTATAGACGTCTGAGAACTCTGGAGTTTTGAGTATTGGCTTAGAGATATAGAACTGTTAATAGTTTCTTGGACAGTTGTCTTGAACATTGTAGTTTTAAATACCATTTTTAGACTTCCAGTAAATAGATATTTATTGTATGTGATATTTTAGAATCTCTGGTGTATTTATACTGGTGTATTTAATGACCTAATGTTTATATTTTGTTTCGTACATGTAAAAAATTTCAATAACTTAAAGCTGATATCTGCCCAAACGCTAATTAAATTAATTACAGCTTGGGGGGTTAAAATAGCAAGTAAAAAACTGTGCATGTACATTAAACAATCTTTCAAATTGTATTTTAGACTTCTTTTGCACATGCTAAACCTTCATAAAGCTATGTAATTAAAAGAAAAATAAAATTATAATTTGTAAGGGTAAACATCAATTAATCAAAACAAATTTGTTTTTCATTAGTGATGTCTGTTAGATAAATTTTATGCACATTCAATTTTTTTATAACTTCCTGGATGGAATATCTTATTTAAGAATACTGGGGAAGCATTATTCAATTTCAAAGACAGTTTCTCCTTTCTTTTCACTGCATTTACAATAGTTATTGTTTAAAATGATGTTGTAAAGTTACGGAAAATGCTGAAAATCCTGATAATAAACTGTTATTTATTTCCTTGTGATAATTAAGTGCAATAATAATAATCAAAATATATCAGAGAGAGGTGAAAATCTCATTTGTATTTCTCATATCAAAATATTTCTCATGTTAATATTTTTAATATACCAATAATATCTGGAATTTAATATACAATGTAATTAATTATTTTATACAAAAATAATGGAATCTTAAAATTACATTTATATATCTTAATAGGTTATCTTTCTGTAAAAGTGAAACTGTCTAAACTATGCTATTTTTTTTCTTTTTTAAACTGTGCCAGTGTATGTTTTTCTAAACTAGTGTACCTTTCTAACCTTACTCAGCTTCTACAGTGTTTTGAAATCTTCAAATTTATTTTTAAATTTCATTTTAATAATTTTCATATTTATTACAAAATTGCTGAAAATTAATTTCATAAGTTGAAAACCAATAATTTTTGCATTTTTAATTTTACGTTTGCTTACCTTATGCTGGGTTCTTATTCTAGTCCTATGCAATACTGTAATTTGTCTTCCATGAATTTTTTTTTCTCATTTATTACTGGACCACAAGACTAGAATTATTTTAATGTTGTTGGTAAAAACAAATTGGCTGTTTCCAAAATAAATAGCGCTTACAAAACTGATATCCAAGATCAGATGTTATAATTTTATATCTGGCTTACTTTTATTGCTAAAAACTGGAGTTATTTTATTTTTGTAATGTTTTAAGTGTGAATTTTTTTTTTTAGATCCTATTTTACACCAATGTAAATTGTATGCATTTTGAGGCAATTATTTTATGTTATGTTCCCGTGTTGTTAACTTATTTAGAAAAAAAAATTTGCAAATAGTTAAGAGGAACAAATTTTGCATCTAATCAAATTTCCATAATAGATTTCAAAAACCTTTGGGAGGAAGAAAAAGTTTAGTACAGATTCTTGATCTACATGTATTTAATTCACAGTCAATAAAATCATAAAAGATTTTGGTTCACATTTCATTAAAGAAAAGGTGGATATTTCTCCCAAAGATACTGTTCAATGTATATATTTTCTATATAAATTCCATTTCGCTCGGGGGGATGGGGTAGACTTTCTTCGAGATCCCCGGAAGAGATGCCTGGAAGAAACTGCTTAAACATATTATCTCTTGATGTTGGTACTCTTTTCAATGACTAATGTTATGTTATATTTTTTTTTAAGTTCTTGTTACCTAAAAATAGTTTTATTAATATTATTATTATTAAAACAATATAAGGTTGAAAAATCACACGTAACTATCATTATTATAGGATAAATATGTTAATCAAAAGTAAGCACTTTTTAAAAATATGCTGTTATATCAGTACCCTTTAAACTTTTGGATATCAGTTTTTTATTGTAAAAATCTCTTTTTGACATACATAAATGAAAGCTATGAGTTATTTTCTCTGTTTTGGAACATGTTTTATATCGACTGCCTAATTAAAACTGAATAGAATTAGAAGGTAATGAATGAACATCTGTGATCTGGTGTAAATAAAATCTATTTATGTTTTAGTGATGACAATTTTTATTTTTGCATGAATAGTTTTATATAGTAGTTTTATATAGAGTAAGTACAATCTTAGGTTAGAGTAGTGAAACAATTTTTTTTTTACAAACATTTACTGAAAAAAAAATGCTTTTAATTTTGTTTTTTGTTTTCTGCACATTAGTGAGCACTATTCTGAGTATTCACTATTGAATTCATTCTAGGCTTAACAAGGAATTAAAAGCTAATTTAATAACAATTCAAATCAAAGAAATATTTATAGTATTGGAATGGTTTTCAATTTCTATCAGATGGTCTTACAGAGATTTGTTTTGTGTTGACATAACAAACCATTTAATTTGGTAATGAATTCAGTTTTTTTTCTTTATACACAGAATAAAGATTTTGTCTGCTGTTCTCCACAGCTTGATACTGTTGAAAAACAAACTACGATAATAAAAATTAAAAGCAATCAAACTCCGCCTTGTTCTTTTTACTCTAGAATGGTCAGTCAGCAAAAAAAAAAAGTTTGCCTTATTAAAACACTAACACAACAGGTGGAAATTTTGAGTTATAAAACAACTAAAGTCTTTCTGATGTTATAAGCGGTTAGCACGGTGATTATCATTCTGCAAATTTTCTTTGTCCCTCTTTAAACTTAATGTTTTCTGCCTTAACCCCCCCCCCCACTTCCATCTAATGACACACTGATCACTTAAATCAAATATAAATTGTTTCATAGCCATTAAAAAGTCTATTTCAAAGCAATGTTTTGACTACAGTAGAAGCAATTAAATCAAAATAGTGTGGCCATTTTTCTGTACGTGTTTTAAAGTTTACATTTCAAATTTCACACAGGTTTAGCTCCTGGTGTTTGCACCCAGTTAACAATACCTTATTTGTACCAACATGACAGGATTGATTTAACTATCATTAGATCCAGCTTCCAATGCTTATTACCAGATTCAGTTCCCATCTAGTTGGTTGCTGTGAAAGTTGCTTTGATTAAGCTGAACTGAGGGTTTTCTCCAAATGTCAACCTATCATGTTACAGGGGACATCAGAAATTGTTTGCTTTGAACTTAAAACTCAGTAAAAATTAAGCTGATAAAGTTTAATTCACCTGTGTATAAATTGGTTTGAAATGACTGTCCAGTACATCATCCATCAATCTATACAAATGTTGAATAGCATACTATCAATGAATATATAGAATAATAGAAACTTTGAAAACACACAATCCAATGTATAGGTATGTTATTTAATCAATGCATATAATTTTCAAACATAAATTCAGGTCATTTAATTCAATACGCAGGAAGATTAAGATAATAATACTTCTGACCGGTTGCATACCATGCCAGAATGTTACACACTTGTAGTTGATGAACACACAACAGAAACAGTTGACACATGAGCTGCTACACACTCCCTGCCATGTTTACTGGGTTAAGGATCTCAATCCAATAGCCATCTGGGTCTTGAATAAATGCCAGACCCTTCATTTTACCTGGGACAAAAATGTTACATTAATACTTAAAATGCTTTTATAATTATGAGACTTATTAAGCTGCACACTAAACCAAACAGTGGAAACAAGCTGAATTCTTTGAGGCCAAACAAAGTTACCTCACCAAAATCACCTAGACAGATCTAAAACAGTACCTCGCTAGGACTATTTTAGCACAAGCAAAAAACAACTTCTGATAAAAAAAAACCTAGACAGATCCAAAACATTACCTCACTAGGACTATTTCAACACAAAACAAAAAAATGACTTCAGCTACAACCATCTTAACATAAGCAAAAGTTTCTCTCAAATAACTCTCTGGCCTCACCTCCATCAGGTTTCTTGATAAAAGGTACACCCAGCTGCTCAAACCTCTCACATGCTTTATAAACATCTGGCACCACAATGCCTATGTGACCTGAAGTTGTCAAACAAAAGTTTTTATATCATAATATTAAAATTCGTATTTTACTTGACTTAAAAAAATTATCCAGAAATTAACTTAATCTTTGTTTTTCTCATTGTATTGTTTTATCACAAACTACCTAGTTCTCTTTTATCACAAACTAGATAGTCCCCTTTAATCACAAACTAGTTACTTCCCTTAGTTCCCTTAAATCAGAAACTAGTTAGTTCCCTTTAATCACAAACTACCTAGTTCCCTTTTATCACAAACTAGATAGTCCCTTTTTATCACAAACTAGTTAGTTCCCTTAGCAGCTTTACATTAAATAGATTAAATAGAGTTATTCAGTTGATGTTTACTGTAAAAGAAATCCTCTGTTTTGTGCTGTTGTATTGTGTTTTAGAAAAAAAATTACAACTAACACAGAGCCTACGTAGCACTCACTCTATGACTATGTATGGTGCACAACTGATTTATTATGAAAGGAATAGTACAGTCACTTACCAAAGCCTCTTGGTTCAGAGTTACCATTGTGATAAACTTGTTTCTCTTCTTTTTCAGTCCCATAATTGCTAGGGGAGAAGATGTATAATATTTTCAACTTGATAGGATCAAATGGTGTAAATCTATGTACTGTGGTTTAAGTTTAAACCTTACAGCATTATCTAAGGAATGTTATACTAGTTTACATTTAGATATGTTAAGTAGCCTAAATAGTAATTTTTAACCGGCAAAAAAGTTGTACAAAATTTTCTGAAAAAAAAATAGCTTACTGTGTAAGTTCTAGTGTAGCTTTTCTAGAAAAACAAAATTTGGCTCGTTCTTTAGGATCAGAAGGAACATCAGCTGGGTTTTCATAGCCCATAAAGTAGAGAGAAAAGTCCATTGATGGAAAATCTAATTTTAACAACAACCTGGAAAAATGATCTGGTTAGCTCATCATCATCATCAATATAGGAAAAAAACTAAGCATATTTCTCAGAATTCTAGTTTTTTTATGATTAAATATAATATTTTAACTAAACTAATAAAAGGAATAAGATTTATATATATGGCTCCTTTTGCTTTGAGAGACAATTATAAAATTATAAAATAAATTATTTGTCATAAAATTTAGTGTAATTCTAATCAATAAGAGAGATGAATAATGTATTTAATTGATTTGAAATAGGGTTCTGGCATAAATATACAAACTATTAACCTGACCAAACAACACTGGTTTAGGGCCTGTGTGGCTAAAAAAAACTCTAGAGGTTGCCCTACCACTCATCCAAAATAACCTATGCATTTTTATTGATCATTAACCATGTCCAAATATTATTAAATTATTAAATCTTGTAATTAATATGAAACTTTCAATAACAAGATTACTGCACCTTAGGTAAGGTGTAGGACTGTGGTTGTTAATGATAGCCTTGTGATTAAAGTATCTTCATCAGTGATATTAGCTAATTGTAATTAGTGATGGATATCTAATAAAAAAAAACACCATAAATAAAAGCTTACGTCATGCCCATTACTCTCGAGTAAAAATCAAGTGACTTCTTGGGGTCTTTAATTCTAACCATTGTCTGCTGGAAGAAGAATCCCTGGGAGAAAAAGAAGAAACAATTTTTAAAATAGACAATAGACCTACTAGTACTATTTACTAAAATAATGGAAAATTAGCTTTAGTAGTTGTGAATCTTAAAATGGAGTAACAACTGCATCTACAGTATATTTTAGTTAAGTTTAGCTTAAGACGACAAAATGCGTTTTTTGTTTTTATCGGTTCAGTTAAAATTAAGTGTTAAAGTTAAAACTTGATAACAATATTGATCTAGCTCTAAGTTTGTATTACCTATTACTAATAGATCTACTAATATAAACTAATACATAGTGTTGATACCCATGGAATGACCAATTTTTTATCAATTTGCATTTGGGCTCCAAATTAAATTTAAATTAATAGGCCTTACGATTAAAAATACTATAAGTAGATCTAAATCTAGATCTATATCTAGATTCTAGATCTAGGTGTTACCTCTGTTTCTGGTGGTGCGGGTACACAAGCTTTCTTCGCATCTTCGTCTGAAAGTGCCATTTTTTTATGATTCAATCCTTTGCCAGCAGAATTTGATAAAAACGAACCGATAGGAGAGCGGATGTATAAACTCGATCTTGATAAGACTAATCGAAATATATTTGACTTCGTGGCAAACATGCAGGATCTAATAAAAGTGACGCAGCAGTATTACTATTTTAGTTGATCCAGTAGGCTAAATCCACTTATCTTACAGTTCCTTTACAAAATGTTAGAAGAGGTTAAAGGTCATTCCGAGCACAACAAGTTGGATAACTCATTTTTATTTAAATTACTTTCGTCCTGTGAATTATGTTTCTTGAGTTTTTATATCATGTTAGTTATTGCAGTGAGTAAATCGATTAATGAAAATAAAGTTGTCAAGATTTTTAAAGAAGTGTTACAATAATGGAAAAATAAACTATGCCAACTATTACCATGTTTAGAGTTGTTAATTTAGAGAAGACAAAATATTTCGATCTTACCACTAGTTAATATGAAATCAAATGTAAGAAGTAGAAGCGAGTCTTTTTCTATGCGGATTAAAGGAGGGGAGGGGCGGGGGCGAAGAAGGTCTATCCCCCCCCCCCAACGAAATTGAATTAATATAGCAAACATATACTTTTACCAGTGCCCCCCTCCCCCGAAAATATCAAGTGCCCCCTCCCCCCCCCCCCCCCCCCCCCGACCCCTGGAAAAAACACTAGATGTAAAATAGGCCAATTTAGTAAAATCTACGACCTACGAAGACATTGGATTATTTATTTTATTTATTGTTCTCCTAACTTTTCAAATTTTAGCCAAATTAAAACGTCTATCTGATGTAGTTGATATAACAGTATTAGAATAATTTACACACACAGGCACTCTATGAGATGTCACTACCGGACCTACGCAGTCTAGACACAACCGTCTTGATTCTTTCATCTCATCCACTGTTTCTGTCTCCTAAAACAATTTTTATTTTATTTTTAGCCATCCCTACTTACCCGGATGTCAGTGCACTTAGCGTAGTGACGTCATTGCTTTAGTCGTCCCCTGTTTAGGTAGGCTAATTGAGGGGGGGGGGGACGTTGTCGTATAAAGATATGATCACATTATGCTATACAGAAACAGAGCAGGAACTTTAATGAATAGCCCAGAAAATAAATACAAAGCTGCTAAAAAGTAATTAGTGAGGTGGGGGGGGATAACTGCTTATATTTCCCCTTTTAGATTGAAACAGGTTTTAGATTAGTAGATAGATATAATATATATTCAATATCCCCGTGCATACCAGGAACTTGATTTTCCCAAAGTCATTTTCAGCTTCATCTTGATTTCAAGAATTCCGGATTCATAAGTTCGGTGACTCGGGTGGTTTTGTATGGTCTACGTTTGTTTAACAGACGGATATACCGGCGTATCAGGAAGTGGTGGTGTGGGAGGGGGAGATACAGGCCTGTTATAAACCTACAGGAGAGAAATGTAGGCTTATATTAACCTACAGGACAAGAGAAATATAGGCCTATATAAACCTACACGACATGAGGGAAGTTTAAGTTTGTATAAATTTACGGCTGGGAAATTCATGTTCGCCGGCAGTGTATCGAACCTACCCTATCCTAAAATCATCTGCAGTGTGTATCGAACCTACCCTATCCTATAATCGCCGACAGTGTGTATCGAACCTACCCTATCGTATAATCGCCGACAGTGTGTATCGTACCTACCCTATCGTATAATCGCCGACAGTGTGTATTGAACCTACCCTATTCTATAATCGCCGGCAGGCAGTGTGTATTGAACCTACCCTATCATATCCGTGACCGTAGCCCGAACATAGCCAACCCCAGGACAGCCCAAACCCCATGCCAACCCCAACACTAATGAAGTAACCCCGAATATTGGACCCAACCTGACCTGCCACAAATCCTAACAGTGATACTGGCAGCATAAAAGCCTCAATACAACCGGTTATCGTTTTACCGGCAATCATAAAACTTGTTCAAATAATTTTATGGTTGTCACAACTGCTCAAGTTACTTAACAATTCATCCAGTTTTTCTAGGCGTGCTAAATATCACAGAGGCCTAAGCCTTCTTAACAAGTACACCAGAGGCGTAGCGACCCTTCCCGGCGCCCGGGGACATACTTTCAATTTGGCGCCCCCCTCGGGAGCAAATTTTCGATTTGCACCCCCCCCCCTCGAACTTTTCATTTGCACCCCCCCCCCCTCAAACTTCCGATTTACACCCCCCCTCTCGAACTTTTCATTTGCACCCCCCCCCTCAAACTTTCGATTTGCACCCCCCCCCCTCGAACTTTTCATTTGCACCCCCCCTCGAACTTTTCATTTGCACCCCCCCCTCAAACTTTCAATTTGGCGCCCCCCCTAAGGTCGGCGCCCGGGGACATATGTCCCCCCCCGCCCCCCCCCCCTCCCCCTTCGCTACGCCTCTGAAGTACACATAATCGTAATGTTAGACTGTGTAAAGCAACCAAAGAATTATCTTTTGATATATATTTTTATTGCCTCGTTATGTTTATTCTGTGAGGGCTCAAGGTAAAAATAACAAGACTAAAATGTAGGCCTGTGTTCACGTTATGAAACTATTGGGCGTGATCAAATATACTTCAAATGTAATACTTAGTCCGTGCATTTAGGTCTCTTTTGTTACTATAAGCCATAAGCTTTTGTAAGGTATTAAGATTGTTCCTTGAACGTTGCGAGCTACACAATCAAGTGCATGGTTTGAAACGTGTATATATAAAATATGTTAAACGAGCCGACCCGCTGCGTATCATACGCCGCTATTTAGTTGTTTTTTTTTTTTCTACTTTTCAGTAATTTATAATTTGTGAATTCGACAGTACCAATGCTGCCACTGAAAATATTTGCTTAAAAACACTAAACCCCCCCCCCCCCTCCCCCCCTCCCCCCCCTCCCCCCCCCCCCCCCCCCCACCCCACGTGAAAGCAGCCTCCTCTTAGTTACCTCCTCTAAGTTTAAAATCGTTTCAAACTAAATTATCTGCCCCTAATAGCCGTCACCAAACCCGTCTCTATGATTGTAAAATGTAAACAGCGTGACCACAGCTCACCAGACATATATAGATTAAGCCCAACCAATGTTTTGATAATTTATATTAAAAACAAATAAGGGACGGCGGTAGAGCGCTAGACTGCTAACCCGAAAGTCTCGAGTACGAATCCGAGTCCAGGTCAGTAGAACGTCCCTGAGTCCACCCAGCTCTGATGGGTACCTAACTCACGTTAGGGAAACTAAAGGCGGCTGGGCAAATTGCTGATCACATCTTCTCTTCGTATACCGAGGTCAAGAAACAGATTAACTTTACTTCATCTGCCCAATGGAAATAGTTTTCTGCTTTAAATAAAACTTGTTTTAAATGCCAAGTAATTCTATAGATATTAAAGTTTACAGGTAATTCAATGTTTTAAAAGACCTTGAGAAAAGATTGTGTAGTTGTTTACCTTTGCTAATAAAATAGGAGTTGTATCCCTTAGAGTGATACTTGAATTTTATTTTTAGTTATTTATTTTTAATTAGTTGTGTTGACTTTTTTCTATCAAAATATTCCGTGGATAGTGCTTTGTGCATTCACATCCATAGAACGAAGTGCATATTAAAAACTTTAATGATGCACTTGTAATTGAATAGCTCGTTAAAAATACTTTTAAATTATGAAATGAAATAGTTGTGGTTGATATATTCTTAAATTTAAGATAATACGTTTATTTTTATTTTTTTAAAGGGCTCGGGGTTGTTTTTGTGTCTATTTCGAAATGATGAGAACTATTCGTCCGCGGAGTCTTCTGATGAATGAGTGAATGCACTTTCGGAATGGCTAAATGTAAATTCGACCACGACCCACACGAAGTTTACTTAACATTACGCAAGAGTTAACGTCACCTGTTTGCTTCTTATTAACGAGAAAAATGTGTCATTCATAAGTCCAAGTCTCAAATCTCGTAATGCTATATAAACAATATCTTGTAGAAGTGCCTCCACTCCAATAAGGGACGTAACCACTCCTTTATTAAACTTTGTTTTCCTTAACCTCGTTGGGTATTCCTGACATTGCGGCACTGACATCATTAAGCAACCAGTGAGATAGTTAAGTACACGTGTCCGTGCACGTGTCTGCTTGGGATAGGACTAGCTATACCGCTTGACCACACCATTGAAGTTTAAAATCAATCCAATAATTTTGAACGCATAGTCTTTGATGTGACACGATTCCTTAAGGCCCTTGCTAGCTCCATCAAACTTGGGATAATATTTAGATTTTAGCGCCGAACATCCAGATCAATAATCGACAGCTAGATCGAATTATGAGCAAATATTGACCATTCTCCCACACAAACAGAAGATCCTGGGCTATTGATTTAACTACGGAGAAAAGATCAGCAGAAACGGATCTTCTCTTTCTATCGATATTTTAATTTTTCAACATTCTCGTGCTGTAGTACGTGCATCAATATCTCCTGCCCGAACCTTTCAATTCTCTACTGGACTGGGCTGTTACATTATTCAGGTCGTTTTGCTTAGAACACAACACTAGACAGACAGGAAAGTATACCTACATACACACACACGCGCACGCATACACACTCGCACTCATGCATGTAACAACACACACACACTCTCTCGCTCACACACAGACTCTCTCTCCCACACATATATATATACACACACACACACAGAATACACTCAAGGGAAATAATCATGATATATACTATACAAGGGACGCTATAACCAACCAGACATAACGTAACAAGGACTGTCACTCAACTTCCAATCTCCACATTCTCTGCCCACCTCCACATTCTCTGCCCACCTCCACATTCTCTGCCCACCTCCACATTCTCTGCCCACCTCCATATTCTCTGCCCACCTCCATATTCTCTGCCCACCTCCACATTCTCTGCCCACCTCCACATTCTCTGCCCACCTCCATATTCTCTGCCCACCTCCATATTCTCTGCCAACCTCCATATTCTCTGCCCACCTCCACATTCTCTGCCCACCTCCACATTCTCTGCCCACCTCCATATTCTCTGCCCACCTCCATATTCTCTGCCCACCTCCACATTCTCTGCCCACCTCCACATTCTCTGCCCACCTCCATATTCTCTGCCCACCTCCACATTCTCTGCCCACCTCCACATTCTCTGCCCACCTCCATATTCTCTGCCCACCTCCACATTCTCTGCCCACCTCCACATTCTCTGCCCACCTCCA